CGCGTCGTCGTCGTCGTCGTCGTCGCCGTCGGCGTCGTCGTCGGTGTTTCCCACGGCCCCCTCCCCCACGGCGGGGCTCCCTGACGAGGAGCCCACGGCGCCGCTGGTGTGGGTGGGGCTGCTGGGGATTCAGGACCCCCTCCGCGCGGAGGTCCCGGAGGCCGTGCGGAAATGCCAAGTCGCCGGCGTCACCGTGCGGATGTGCACGGGGGATAACCTGGACACCGCCGTGGCGATTGCGCGGCAGTGTGGGATTTTCAACCGCGCCCGTGGCGATCTCGCGATGACCGGGCGCGAGTTCCGCGATCTCGTCTACGACGCCTACGGCGACGAGGCTCGGATGCAGCGGTTTTGGTTGGTGCTCGACCACATGACGGTGATGGCGCGCTCGCAGCCGCTGGATAAGCAGCTCCTCGTGTTGATGCTGATGATGCGCGGCGAGATCGTCGCGGTGACGGGCGACGGCACCAACGACGCCCCGGCGCTGCGGCTCGCGAATGTCGGGTTTGTGATGCGCAGCGGCACGGACGTCGCCGTGAAGGCCGCCGATATCGTCCTCCTCGATGACAACTTCCGCTCCGTCCAGCGCGCGGTCGTCTGGGGGCGATGCGTTAACGATAACATCCGGAAATTCCTCCAGCTCCAGCTCACCGTGAACTACGTCTCGGTGGTGCTCATCTTCGTCGGCTGCATCGTTGCCGCGGGGAACTCGTCGCCGCTGTCGACGGTGCAGCTGCTGTGGTTGAATCTGATCATGGATACCCTCGCGGCGCTCGCGCTCGCGACGGAGAAGCCGAGCGAAGAATGCCTCCGACGCCCGCCTATCGGCCGCGGGGAGCCCCTGATTTCCTACCGCATGCACCTGACGATTGGCGTCGCCACGCTTTACATGCTCGTCATCGCGCTCTGCGCGGAGCACCTCCCAAGTTCGTGGATGCGGCTCGGCGCGCCCGGCAGCCGGGAGAATCAGACCATCGTTTTCAACCTGATCGTGCTCTGCACGATCGCGCATATGGTGAGCTCCCGTAAGCTCTACAACGAGTTGAATCTTTTTGAGGGGTTTAAGCGCTCGAAGCCTTTTATTTTCGTGATCATCTCCTGCGTGTGCTTCCAGGTCCTCGCGGTGGAGACGTTTGGGGATTTCATGCAGACCGTTCCGTTGAGTATCTACCAGTGGCTCCTGTGCATCGTGCTGGCGGTGTTGCTGATGGTGTTGACGACCTTATCACGTCTCATCCCGCTGCGGGCGCCCGCCTACACCTCGACGTTCGATTCCTCCTGCCTCGATGCCGATGCGAGGCGGTCGCTTGATAAGCTCTGCCTGGCGGTCGAGAAGGCTCGTAAGGGTGCGTCGTATTATAGCGGTAGGTGCTTGGACGATGCATCGCGGCTGCGCGCACAGGCGCTTTGGGATAAGGTCCATCGGCATCATATTTATGGGAATAGAATCATCAAAATGTTTCGTGGCTCGTGCATGAGGCGGATGAACGCAGAGAAGGGTATGTTGTAATCAGGAAAGTACCCAAGCTCTTATCTCAGTCGTTTTTTTTTTCTTAGATACTTATTCACCCAGTATAACTGGGAAGAGAGGGTTGGATGGGCTAAACTAAATCAGTGATTTTTTTCAGCAACGAAAAAAATAGGGGCTGCAAAGGACCTACTTGTAATGTATTGTGGGGTTTATTTTTTGTGTGGATTGTCTTGGAATCAATGAAATAAAACTTTTGCATGTGAGCTTTGAAATTTTATTACCCAAAAGAAGCAGTCAAAATGATAATACATGGAGACATGGCTACTTTCAATGAGAGGGGATTCACATTTTTAAGCGTTCAAATTTATATACTAGGTAGAGTGTTTGAGACTACTAACTATAAGGGTTGCTTTAACCCTTTCTATAAGGTGCTTAAAATTCTATTTTATTTTGTCTGTTTATGTGTCTTGGAATTATGAAGCCACAGTTTCGTTTACATATCTTAGTTATTTTGTGTCTTTTTGACTAATTAAATGAGATCCGAGGGGTGTGAGCTAAAAACATAAGGGTTGCTTCTCAGCCTCTTTGAGTTAGAAGAATTAAAAAGGGGGGATACTGGTAGTGTGAATAAGAGGTAAAGCATCTCCAGTGCTTGAAGTGGAAGACATTTTTATTCAACATTGTATAATTTTAGTACACCATTTTTTCTTTCGCATTGTGAATAACTTATAAAGCTTGTTATGTGATGGTGTCAATAGATGTTAATAAATGGCTCCATGCATGTAAACGAAGGAACTTTGATGGGCATTATTATCTGCAAGTATAGATCTACATAAAAGTATTGAATTCCCTCCCACTCTTCCTTCTGGCACTATCCTTATTGTATATACTAATATATATCTTTTGGGAGGAGACTAGCTAACAGATACACATATAACGTCTGTCTATGTGTGATCATTAATAGGTATAGCTATCCATACATAAGTCAAAAAATAAATACCTAAAAGCCTAATGCTGATTCGTGTTCGCGGGAAAGGGGCGTGTGCGGAGAACTCCCACGCGGCGCTGATGCACCTCCGTGGGTTTCGCCACAGCCACAGCCCCCCACCCGAGGGTGGGAGCTACGCGTGGATCGCCCTCCCCAACGCGAGTGGCGACCTGACGACGCGTTCGCGGCCGTTTCGTTACCCCCACTTCGCCATCGCCCTCCACTGCCCGGGCCTCACCTGGGGGCCGCGTCCGACGGCCCAAGGCGAGGTCGCGACGCCGGATCCCGCCGCCGTCCCCCGCGCTCTGGCGTGGAAGGAGGTGTGGAATCTGTACGACATCTGCTACGACGAGGTCCCCCTCCTGCCGGATGACTTCGCGTGGACGGAAGCCCAGCTTCGCGGGCTCGCCGAGCAACGCCGCGGGGCGACCC